CACACACACACACACACACACACACACACACACACACACACACACACACACACACACACAAACACACATGCACACACACACGCACACACGCACACACACACGAAATGAACGGGGATATACCTCCGCCTTTGCTTTGCCTCCTTTCATAGTGTGCAAGTTAGGCCGTTATGGGAGACAGCGATGTGGGCAGCTTGCGCTCAACAACAATCAACGTGGCGAGCGTTGTGCATGAGTGGCACGGTGAAGGGGGAGCTGCAAGAACAAATGAAAGGGGTACCCCGAAGAAAGCGAATGTGAACACATTCAAGAAAAGGGTTTTCATGCTTCTATTGTACTTCATGTTGCCTGCTATAGAGGTGAACCAATTTCATTGTTGGGTTGTCTGAACTCAAGGGCTTTTGTTCTGTAATAGGATTGAATATGCTTCGATTTTGGATCTGCTCATCTGGGTGGAATAGGGGCTGTTGTGGTGAAAATTCAAAACCCACACAGACGCACACACACACATGCACAGGACTCTTTCCCCCCTCTTTACATGACTTATATCACGGTGGTTGTGCTTTCCGTGGCCTCTTCTCTCTCTTGCGTTTGCTTTTCGCTCTCTCTCACCTTATGGTGTTGCCTTGCGTTTGGATCCCTCCCTCAGCCCTCGTCTCCCATGCTTGACTCCCGGTCCTCTCTCTCTCTCTCTCTCTCTCTCTCTCTCTCTCTCTCTCTCTCTTGTTGTTTTGCTCTCTCTCTATCTGTGTCTTGATCTTTCTCTTGGTCTTACACTTTTTCACTTTTGAACACTTCTTTCTGGTAGCTGCAAATCTTATCGGTATTGCTTTTCTTATGGTCGTACTGTGGACTATGAATGTACGGGACCAAAATGGCTGGCAGCACCAGGCAAAAAGAAAAGAAATTGCTTTGGAGGCTTTTTTTCCCCCTTTGGCTTACAGCTCAATTTCGTATCTGTAAAAACAACCTGAGATGGCGTGGGTGTCTACTGTGAATCCCTGCTGTTTGAGAGTTAACGCAGGTTACACTGATTTTATCATCTATGACAGAAGCCAATTGCTTTGCTGGTGACGGATCATCTGCAGAAGTCTATTGCTTCAGTTAATCGCAATCGTGATGTCAACGGTTGCCAGCCTTTGGATGGTGTAGTTGGTCGACTAGCCTTTGGAAAGCACCAGCTGTATGTGAAACACGACATTTATAATTTGCTGAAACTGGGAGCTCCGGGTGATTTATGAGCTGACAGCGATAGTTTGTGCAGAGACTGCAACATTCCAGGAGGCCCAGGAATGCCCCCTGCTCTGCATCAGGTTTCCATTGGATGGGTGCTTTAACAGTGTGAAGTTATTCATTGTCTTGCTTTCTGTGCTGGGTTGATGTGCAACTGATGTCTGACACCCTGCTGTGCCCTGCTGTGTGAGCTGTGTTGTGATTTAACTCGGTATGGTTGATCATCTCATATGCCTGTTACTCAGGTAGGCTGTCCTTGTTTGACGTGGTTTTCGTTCGCTCTGACTGGACTTCGGAAGTGGTGCAGACTGGGCAGACAAGCTGAAGGAGAAGTTGGAGAATCGTCAGCAGTAGGTTCTCTTGATGGTGTCCTTGGCGACATCTGTTAAAATTGGGACGACACAGAGAAGATTAGCATGGCCCCTGCACAAGGATGACACGTGTAAATCGAGAAATGTTCCAAAAAAAGAAAAAGAAGAAGGTTCTCTTGATGGCAGCGTCTGATTTTTGCAGCTGCCGTTCTGTATGCCCCCCGCTTTGATGTTGTGCACAGGCTCTTCGTTTGAATTACGGAATGAGTGACCTAGATCTCCCAGCATATGGCATGCAAGCTCTGAGCATGCTTGCACCAAATGCAAAGGCAGTCGTCGATGGGCACGCACAGGTAGCGTCTTTTCCTGCGAGTGAATGCAAAATGTCTCCATTTCTTGATGCTGTGTGTATGCATGGGTGCCTGCGTGTTTGAGTTGTGCCATCGTCACTTCTGCCTCCTCGCTTTCAGAGTTTGCCAAAATTTTCTCTGAATTCGGTGTTTTTGCCAACTTCGTTAGTGGTCCAAATGCATCAAAACTGAATACAGATATACCCTAAAGCACACATACATATCACAGTGATATAATCACACCAAAAAAAACAAACAAGAAAATTTCGAAGAAAACAAAAATTCAGGGAAATATGGCAGTTTCGGTGAAAAATTCACCGAAAATGACACCACCTATTGACCGTTAGTGATGGTCATTATGCCTTTATCTAGACTGAAAGTTGCCCCAAACATACAGCCATAATGGCCGTACGTTCTATTTCGGTGAAAGGATGGCTTCTCTCAGTTCTCTTCAAATCACCAACGGTAGATAGGAGCCGAACTGTCTCACGACGTTCTAATTGTTATGTTGGCCACTAGCCCGTTCGAGCCCGTTGTTGCTCACTATACAAGACTAGTAGCACTCTTGTGTATGTTGCATGCTAGTGAATACATTCACCAAGTATGGGCAGAACCAAAGATCAACCAATATAGGATGAGCATATATGCAGTGGAAGTCTGAGATATGGACTGACTCACATAGACGGAACTTACCCAGACATCACTCAACACACAAGCAATCGTGAGATAGTGGGGTCTGAAGCCATCCATAGACAATGCTTCAGCCCCGTACACCTATACACAGATGAATGATGGGAGGAGAGACGATGGAGGTGGGAGATAGGGACAGCACCAGATGTCAAGGAAATAGAATCCAGAATGTCACCGATATAGTAGCCCAAAATGTCACCGAACAAAATCAGAATGTTCTTGACATAAGTCACCAATGTCGGAGATACAGAATCCTAATATTACCGATGTCCGATCTGTGATGCCGCCAGGTATCAATCCCAAATATCTCCAATGTCTCGAATCCGGTAAGTGTCACATCCTCCTACCACCGAAGTCCAATCTCTGATCTCTGTCCATCCCATATCCAAAGTCTCTCATCTGAAGAAAAGGAAAAGGAGGAAGAAGAGGAAGAAGAAGAAGAAGAAGAAGATCTGGGGAGGGCAGAGGAGAGGTGGAGATGGCGAAGTAGGGAGGAGGAGAGTTCTCACTCCCGGATCCCGTACGCAGGTCCTTACCTGCAGGTGCAAGGAGGCGCCTGCGGCTTCAACCTGGAGCTATGGCGCTGCGCAGGTAAGCCGGTAAGTGCCCGTCTGCCACCTCTAATCGCCAGTGAGCGCTAATTAGTGCTGCTGTGCTTGGAGCTGCGCTAATCCAAAATTAGCGCAGCGCTGCTCCTCAACTGCTGCCGTTCCTCCAGAAGGTGGACCCAAACGAAAAGATGCTGAACAGACTGCCGGTCGGTCCTAAGTACTGGCGGGGGCCTGTTCGGCCTCGAGGCTGCGAAAGTGCCTAGTGATCTGAACCGTCAGATTTTGTATCCGATCTGCGGTTCAGATCAGACCCGGGGAGGGCAGCCTCACAGTTGGCCACCAGGTCCAACGGTAATGCTGTTTGGACCGGTCCTCGTCTGGGCCTGTCTAAGGGCCTACGGGGTGGCCTGGAAAAGAAAGGGGTCAGGCCTTTGGGCTGGACTGGCGTGGACCGTCTCCAGGCCCTAGGTAGCCCCTCGGTCCTGTCGTCGGGCCTGGTATGGCTCGTGTGTAATGCAGAATGTAACAATGTATCTCTGCATAGCACGGACTCTACCTTCAACTTGTTTCGAGGCGACTATACTAAGCCGGGCGACTTGAGTTGTTTCACATACGGTCTCTGAGGTCTTAGTAATGTGGGTATTTTGTTTGCCTGCCGAGAATTGGATTCAAACAGCTAACTCGGAAATTGGTTATGTCAGGTGTATTAAGTGAAGACTTTGTCTGCTTGCCTATCTATGAGTTCTCTCTCAAGTTCCACTTGGAAACCTGTCCTGTCAACTATAACAATTAATGCAAGGAGAGCAGAAATAAGCCCAGTTTGGATCTTGACCTGCCTTATGTGGCTCTAAAGTCTTGTTGTTTGGGCCTGTGCTCGCTGTTTAAGCCCTGTCGGGTGGCCGAGTTATGCCAGTCTTTCCATCTGAGCTGCAGGTCCCAGGGGAATAGGAACTGGACTGACGGTCCCTAGAATGGATATGGAGCCAGGACCATAAGGACTAGATAATAATAAAAAAAAAAGTGAAGACTTTGTCTGGAACTGTGTAATCTGCTCCTGATGTTTGCTGTAAGCATTCCGGCTTTCTACTGCTGCCACTTACTAATGCAGATTTCAAGAGGGGTGTGTAAATCTTTTGGAGGCAGTGGAACACTGCTAACGCATGACTCTATGACTATCGTATCAAAAGGTCCTGGTGACCAATAAGGTGTTCTTTTTAAACTCCCCCCCCTCCCCCCCGATTATATCCTGACTCCGAGATGAGTATGAGCCTCTGTGGATGAGTATTAGCTTTACATTCAACACGTACATTTATCTTAAAAACAGTTGCTGGCGGCAGGTAAGATGTTTTTTGAACTTCTTTCCTATTGCTTTGTAAGACTGTCGAGGTTGAACCTCCTGACGAGTCGGTGAAAATCCGACGAAACAGTCTGTGACCGTGAAATTGGCAGTCGGTGGAAATCAGATGGAGCATTTTGAGCCGGGTGAGTTGGCGATGGATGGACATCATACATTTCTGCTCTCTTTTCTGTTCTGAACTACAGTTACCATGAAGGGAAGTAAGGTGTCTTCTCTTGCAAAGGGATGCTTTGAGCAGGTCGCCATTCGTGTGGATAACAATGAGAACATTGCACTTGGGAAGTCGCGAACATCTGCCTCCCTTCTCCGATAGGCTCTTAACGTTGTGCTGAGATAGTAAATTAGTCCTATGCATTTGAGAGGCGGTTGGCGGAGCCCGAAATTTTGAGGGGGTTTTGAACTTTTGATGGTGTTTCTGACAGAACTCCCAAACTTTGTAAACCAAACTTGCCACCAATCCATAGACTGGACAATAAATATTCCAAGAAAAAAAAAAAAAAGTGAAGAAACAGAACCTAAAACCCTAAGGCAGAAATGTGTTTTCAACTGTTCATGCAAAATTCGCCTTGTGCGGTTTTACTGTTTTTAACCTCTTAGGCTTTTACAGGATTTTCAGGTTTTTCAGGGCTTGCCAAAAAACTGTCGTCTCCGAGGTTGCAGCAAATACAAAACTTGTCGACAAAAAAATAATCTGCCCAAAACAAAAAAAAAGAGAAGTGAAAAAAAACTATGCCCTTTTCTGTGCTTCGGGGGTGAACCTATGTCGCGGTCCCTTTTTACCACTTGTGGTCGAGGGGGCTTCGTACTGGGGCCTGCCTTTCTGAACTTTTCTGCTTTTTCTCTTTGTATGAAAGATGTAATTGGTCACACGGATACAGAGAAGATGAGCATGGCCCCTGCCCAAGGATGACTTGCATAAAGAAAGGGGGGAAAGATAGAAAATGAAATTTAGCTGGGCACAATGGTCTCTTTCATGCTGAGCAATGCTGTGCATGAAAAAAGCAAAGCTGTGTTGTGGGATCCGGAGTGAGGAGTCGCTTGATTTTTGCGACTCGTGTTCAGGCCTCGCCTGGATCACTACGCTGAGCATGGAATGTGTTTAGCGAAAAAAAAACATAAAAAAGCCATGTTGTTGCTACAGAGGATTTCTGAGGGCTGCCCTCTGTATTGCCATATAATGTTTTGCACTGGAGTGCTGCGGTTGCTACGGAGGAGGGCTCAGGATGTTTGTACTGAGCTTTTCATCAATAGTTTGATGTTCTTAGTGCTTGGGAGGGAACAAACCATTTCTTTGGGACTTCTGAAGTGCAGGCACTGCTGTACTTGCACCTTTTTGGGAGGCTTTCATCCAGAAACTCAAAGTGCGTGGCTGGGGAGAGATGAAAAAGAAACGAAAAAGGAAAACACAAAACCTTGTCCGCCACATGTGGGGCTCGTTGCTTCTTGCCAGCTGTTGTTATGCGAAATCAACAAACAGACGAGTCTTCTCTGTGGAAATCGATCTACCAATAGCTTTGTGCCTTCTACCTGCGACAGTATCACTCTGGTTGACACTGTCGCTGCTTTGCATGATTGGGCAGACGTCCGAGTCTTCAGTCTTTGAATGTCTTTTGCAGCCGTTCTTCACTCTACATGCCTGCATCCAAAATCAGCAAAAGAAAATATTTGGAAACAAAATCATCATGAACAGTGGTGTGCACAAACTGATTCACTGTTGAGCTTCAAGATCTGTGCTTGAGTTTCCACTGGGGCACTACTGGTTAACGGGGACCCCCACTTTTCGGCCCTGAGTAACCATGAGAGAGAGAGAGGGAACTGACGTTTTTGCACTGAAGACAGGAGACGAGGGAGGAAAGAATGAACAAGGGAAAGGCAAATAGCAGTGGGGGGAGAGAGAGAGAGAGAGAGAGAGAGAGAGAGAGGGAACTGACGTTTTTGCACTGAAGACAGGAGACGAGGGAGGAAAGAACGAACAAGGGAAAGGCAAATAGCAGTGTGTCACTTGGCCCTTCATGGCTTCGTTCTTTCTTCCTTTGTTCTGGAAAGAGGGGGAGAGGGGTTCCCTTCTCCAGTCTCTTTCGAGGGTTCAGATGGCAATTGGTCATGGCCGTTGGCTCTCCGACTCAAGAGATTCCATTTTCCCCTCTCTTTCCTTTAGTCTTTTTAGGTCTCCTCATTTCTCTGTCGCCTCGGGTTTCGTTCATTTTTTCTCATCCGTGTCTAACGTTGAATTTGTCACTTAGCCCTCTCCTCGAGTTCATGATGATTCAGACCATTGACTAGACGACGCATATGTAACAGAGCTGACAGTAATGAGATCGTGGGTGCCAATCCTGCTGGATACTACGGTGCTGAGTGCCTTAGCCCTTTGAATAACCGTGGGCATGAACCTGGTGATTCAGATT